AAGCCAAAGCACGATGCAGTTGGTGAGCATGAGCGCATCGCTCGTCCAGTACATGGTCACGAAGCCTGCCATCTGCATGAGCCACCCCAGCCCCGTCGACGGGTTCAAATTGGCGCAGTCGCCAAAGGGCACGACGTCCCACGGCGCCATGATCTGGAGAATACCGCCTTCAAACTCGTCGATGGCCGGCACGGGCCCGAGCCGCACGGCGCCGAGCGGGCTGCCCGTGAACGTCGCGAGGTACCCTGGGTTCATATAAATATCATGGCGTGGCGCCACGCCAAGGTAGGTGGCAGCTCCGCGGCTTACTTGGATCGCGTACGAGGGGGCGTCGGTGGCGACTTGGTTTTCACAAATCCAATTCGGATCAAATTTGCGCGGCGAGCAAAACGCAATCGAGTCGATCTCGGCCGACGACGGAGAGGACGACGCGAGGTAGAAGCGCGCGCGGCGCACCATGCACGTGATCGCCATGGCGTGGCCAACAATCGAAATTTGTGCCGTCGGTTTGTTCCACGCAGCGAGGTTGTTGATGTGCTGGATCGTCACTGTCTGGGCGGAATCCTGAAACAGCGGCTGCTCAAAGTTGGAAATGTTAACAAATGTCTTGGCGACCGCACTCCAGAGGTGGTTGGTCGCGGGGAGAAACGCCGATGCGCACGCGACGTCCTTCTTGCTGCAGCCCTTGTACAGGAGCGTGCTCAGCGACAGCGTCGCGTCCACGGGCAGCGGCGTTGCGAGTGGAAGGGTCACCGAGCCTTGGAGGAGGACGTTGACCGGAATGTTGAACTGGTTGCTTGTAAACGTCTCGACATTGAGGCCCAAGCCCACGTGCGTATTCGCGAGCACGTTGAGGTAGTACGTGCTCACGGCGACGACGGTCGCAAAGGCGAGGTTGAGGAGCGCCAGCACCAAACCCTGGCCACACGGCGCACGCAACACTGGCATCGTATCGAACGGAACCACAAGTGTCGCTGACCGCAGCAACATACAAGTGCTCGGTCACGCCTTATTCGCCAAAGGGCTAGGGCAGTGCGCTATTTCCGTCGGCAGATCGCTCGCCATCTTTAGTCTCAACGCGTCGACGGTTGTTGTCAGCAAGGCAAGATGGCGACCAATGCCAACGCCATCGCACATGCAACACACGATGCAATGACCAATATCTTGACAGGTAGCTCTACCATAGGAATCCGCTTCGCAACACTGCTCGGCGGGAAAGCTCGCGGTTGCGAAACCTCAACGCCCACTTCTCAAGGAGCGCTGCTGTTGTACCGCACCGAGTACAGTCATGGTTGGATGGCACTGGACAGCAGCGTAGACTGATGGTCACGTGGTGGGTATAGGCGGAGGGTGTCCCACACTCCATCGCAGCTCGCTCGTCTGTAGAATCGCACAGCGATCGTGCGTTGACTGCAAACCACCAGGCGGCGTTCGGGCGTGTAGCTCCAAGGCTAGGGTCGAGCGAAATTGCACTTGATTTTCGAGTAGTCAAATTTGCACCAGCCGCGCGTCACTGCCAAGCCGTGGACGTGCCCATGTACTGGGTAGTTAGCTCTCTGCTGCGTGTACTTCGGCAGAGAGCCTCGTCGTCGGCGCTATGGGTCCGCAAGCCAATAACCGATGCAGCGAGACCCGTTAAGAGAAGGATGACCTCGAAGGAGGCCAGCTCCAGTGGCTAGTTCTTCGCATGGAGTTTGTAGACTGCTGCTGAGTAAGTTAGTAAAATTAATGAATCATGTTGCGGCCAAAGACTTCGACGCGCTTCTGCCGGCGCTGGAGGCCCTCGAGCGCGGTCTTTTTCCACTTGCGCAGGAGGCAGCGCGCGACTTCGCGGACGTCTTCGGACGCAGTGCGCCGGTAGATGCGCACGAGGGACTGCCCGATCTCGGTCTCTTCGAGGAGCTCGAGCGAGATGAAGCGCTGGTCGAGCTCCTGCAGCAACATCGGCAGCTCCTGCTCGTCGCAGACGTCCATGATGTGGGCCAGCGACTGGATCTCCTCGACGACCTCAACCTTGGTTCCATGTTCGATCCTCGTCTGGCGCAGGCGCGCGCTCGGCTTGGGCTTCCCGGGCACGATGCGCTCGCACGTCGTCGGGACCGCCACGAGGTACCGGTCCATCATTCCGCGGGAGACTCTCCCTCTGCAATCCGATCTTGAATGAAATCGAATACGAGAGGTTTAAAGTAAAACTGAATTCAGTTTAAAGTTCAACCGATGCGTTAAAGAGGATTAACGCGTGTCACGTCTCGCACCAGATTCCAGGCTGCCCGGACTGGTTCTGAGGTGGGAGGTAATATAGAAGTACGCAAGCGATTGCATCTCGTGGAATCTCGCTCGCCTTGTGATAGGTATCGAGATCGAGACATGCTAAAACCACACGCAGCAACGCGTGATCGCGTTAAACGGACGTTTATACATGTACGTTAAAGGTTGGCCGGTTGAAGTCAACCCACCAGCTGGCGTCAAATCCGGATTGGCCCCACGCCGTCGACCCCGATGGCCGAGACGCCGAAGCGCAAGCAGGTGAACCTGGGCCTCATGGGCGCCGGTGGCATGGCGGGCGTCGTCTCCAAGAGCGTTGTCGCGCCCTTTGAGCGCGTCAAGATCGTGTGCCAGACCGGCGCGAGCAACGACGGCATGGTCGCCACGACGCGTCTCATTTTTCAGACCGAGGGCTTCCTTGGCTTCTGGCGCGGCAACTTTGCGGCGTGTGTGCGCATCCTGCCGCACAAGGCCATCTTGTTTGGGTGGAGCGACATCTACCGGAGCATCCTCTCGACGCAGACCGTCGTGCCGATTGCGCCGAGCCAAGTCGGCTTCTTCGCCGGCGGCTGGGCAGGCATGACGGCGTGCATCTTGACGTACCCGCTCGACTTTATCCGCACGCGTCTCTCGGGGACGATCGAGTCGCTGCCGCGGCACTCGGGCATGCTCTCGGCGTTTGTCGTTATCGTCAAGGAAGAGGGTGTGCGTGCGCTCTTCCGCGGCATGGGCCCGACCTTGCTCGGCAGCGTGCCGTACGAAGGCATCAAGTTTGGATCCTACGACCTCCTCCGCAGCTTCCTTCCCGAAGGCATCGACCCCAAGGCGGACTTTGCGGGCAAAATGATCTGCGGTGGCGGCGCCGGCATGATTGCGACGCTACTCACGTACCCGAACGACACGGTGCGTCGCCGCATGCAGATGCAAGGCATTGGCGGCAACCCGCGCTTGTACCGCCACACGCTCGACTGCTACATCAAGCTCGCGAAAGCCGAGGGCATCAAGAGCTACTACCGCGGGCTCACTCCAACGCTCGTGCGCGCCATGCCCAACATGGGCATCCAGTTTGCTTGCTACGACATCTTCCGTAGCTGGCTGCCCAAGCAGCCGTGAGCGTGTCCATAGAAGCGGACGACGACGACAAGAAGAATCGAGTTGCCTTGGCGTACATAGATGAGAGCAAGGAAGAAGAACTAGTCCCTTTGTTCGTAGTCCGATCGACGATCTTAGAGCGCCGTGTTGATGAGGACGTACTGGTACACGAGAAGCCCGAGGATCGCAACCGCCGCGGCCACAACTGCGTTGGTGGGGTAGTACTTGAGCAGCAACGGATGGCGCTGGCGATACAGCACGAGCAGCAGCGCCAGAAGCACGCCGACGGTGGCCCACGACGCCAACGTCGCACTCCAGTCGGGTCGCTTGGTATCTGCCATGGCGATCGCACAGGCCACGCGTGGGGTCGCCTTGTTGGCGCACACGGCGTGTAGGATCATGTTCCACTCTGGCCGCTCTTCGTGTGTCGCTGGGTAGTGCGGGTCGCGCCACGAGTGTTCAATGCGCCCTTGCTTGACCTAGCCAAGAGTCAGCGACCGGTCGTCTCGTAGCGACGATCTACCAGCATGTCGCCGAGCTTGCCGGACAAGTCGCCACGTTCACAACCAAGTGGGTTCGCAACGCTGCAGTTGTAGGCGACACCAGCGCACAGGGCGTCCTTCAAGTGCTCCGAGTTGGGACCGCACGCAAAGTCGGGGTCGTAGTGGTTGCCAGCGATCGCCAACGAGCAGCCGCCCAAGAACCTAGACCAGCGAATGAGCCTCCGCGATGCGCTGTCGCCATCCAGGGTACGAGGAGGTCGCCGTCTGGTGCCATTGCGTATGGATGTGCCACTTGAAAGCCTCGATGGCGCCATCGCAGTTGGCGTCAAAGGCCCGCAGCGCTTGGACATCAAGCTCGGTGACGTCGAGGCGAGCATGAATCGTGGCGCCTTGCGCATCGCGAGCAACCTACCGAGCCTGAGCGCCGTCGAAGCATGGAACCCCACGTCGAAGCGCGGCTGCTACCTCGATGTAGCCTTGGACGCCGCCAGCGGTCTCCTTTGCGAAGCGGTAGTGGACGCTTGGTGTCGTCGACCCGAGGAAGCGCATCCTGCAAATGAAGAGCAGATCCTTGCTCGAACACAGCCAATCCGGTGCCAGCATTCACAATCTTTCGCATTTGATTCGTGGAACGCAGCCATTATCTGGTCGCATCTGCAAATCAGGCAGCGATTGGCGAGGTAGGACAGACTGCCTGATCTGAAGGCCGTTTCCGTCAGCTCCGACAACAGTGGTGATGGGGCCGTCATCAAGTATTTACGTCAACAGAAGCAAGGGCTGTCTCAGCTCGCCGTTCGGCCTAGAGTAGCGTCGGCTTCTATTAGTAGGCCTAGCTACCGGTACCGCCAGCTTGGCGCTGCAATGCTGAGTGTCGGCAGCTGAAGCTTCGCCTCCTGATGAACGTCGGACACAGGCTTGGGACGAGGTCGGACTCGGTGAGGTCGGACACGGCGACAGCATCCTCGGTGCCGTCCACGTCACAGCCCAGGCTTTGGGTTCAGCGCGCCCGTCCTTTGGCCACGTAGTTCTGCAGATGGCGCAGCAGAAATTTGGGCGGGCGATTTGAGTGGCCGCGCACGCGTGCACGGGCAGCGTACTTGGCCACCCCGGCGTGGACGTACTGGCACGCAGGTACACTTGCGTGCGGCTTCGGGGCCGTTCGCGCGGCGTCCTAATTAGGATTTGGACCATATGCGCCGGCATATGCACGCGAAATGTCCGAATTTCACGCGGCGTGCTGACCTTATCTGGCCTCTTGCTGAAACACGCGACTGAACTGTTGGGCGCTGAACACCGGCCTGTCCGACTTTGCCGTGTCCGGATACCAATTGTATGGGATAAAGGCGGCGGGTGTCCGGATACGAGGCGCGACGGAAGATCGGTGGAGGCCTTCATTGGCGCGTCCGCAGTTGTACAGTCCTTGTCGCGAAGATGGTCGCCCCTGCCTCGTCGCTCCGCTCGGCCGCATCCCGCTTCGTCCACAACGATTGCGCACTACCGCTCTTTTGCGACTCGTACACGCGGTATGGACTACGATGAGGATGCCAAATCTTATTGACGGACGTAGCAACAATAAGAACACGGGGCATAAGAACCTCCGCTGCTTCCCGCACTGCTGCGGGTCGCACCGCCCCAACTCGTTCTGCGGCATGTCAGTCGTCGTCGAGCACGCGGCGCGCCCCGACACGGCCGACCGCGTCGTGAGCTACAGCCGCTTTGAGGTCGCGCCCGAGGCGCAGATTGTACCGGCGATCCCGATTGGCGCGCGCGTCCACGCGACGCTCATCGAGGCGGACCTCAAGACGCCCGAGCAGCCCCTCGGTAGCTGGATGGAAGGCGAGCCGATCACGGTGATCGAGCTGCCGACGGACGTGCTGCGCTTCGAGTACAACGGCAATCGCCAGTGCTGGCACTATGGCTGGCGCTCGAACCGCTTCAACTGCACGACCAAGCACGTGCTCATGGTGCGTGCCAACAAGGATCGTCGTCGTACTCACGTTTGTAGGTGTACGTCTTTGAGCAAGCGGGCGCGGACGAGCTCGAGTGTATTGACGTGCTCTCGTCGCCGCAGTTTACCGTCTGCTCGAGTCGCCGCAGCTCCAAGGCGCTCGCGCCCGGTACCTCTACCGTCTCTCCTTTGCGTATACTGACCATGTTTGTAGATGCGGCTCCGTCGCTGCCGGCGTCGGACGACGAAGACACGACCAGGAGCAGGCGACTGGTCCGCGACCAAAGCGTCCGCTCGCCTTCCTCGTCGTCCTACGGTGCGCCATTGCATTTGTCCAACACGTTTTCACTTACAAGCAATTGGGTGCAGGCGTGCGTCGCGCCCACTCGCCGCCGCCCGAGGCAAGCCAGGCGACCAAGCGGCCCCGGACGTCGTCGCCTTCGGACCGCGACCGCGCGATCGTCGACGCGCTGGCGTTCTGGGATCTCTGCCTCGCAACCATGAACGTGCGGGTCACGTCCATCGTCCAGCGCGAGTCGCCGTTCTACGACGCGTTCAACGCGATCCTCGCGGGTCTCTTTCGCCAGGACTTTGTGCACTTTGTCCGGCAGCATTTGCGCGCGCCGCCGATGCCGGACTTTCTCGCGTCCTTTGAGGAGCTTTTGGTCGCGGTCGCCGCGCAGATCAAGCAGGCGCTTGGCCACACGTCGCTCTCGCAGTGGCTCCAGCTCGTGCAGCTCGACGCCGAGTGGCACCCGACCGCGACCATTGGCACGTGGCTGCCCGTCTACATTGCGTTTGTCGAAAACATGCAACACGTACGACCCTTGATGAGGACAAGGGTGACACATTTCGTGTAGGCGCAATGGTACTCGGGCAACGTCGTCCACAGCGACAGCCTCCTCATGGGCACGTGGCGGCGCGAGTCGAGCGTCAAGCACTCGAGCCTCGTGGTCGCGACGGCGCTCGACTACAGCTCGCTTTACTGGACGTGCTCGAGCCTCGGCCCAAATACCATCCAGGTCCAGCAGACTACTTTGCTTTGACGAGACCCTCACAGCCAGGGTGTCGTAGGTGCGCTGGGACGACGCGCTCTGCGGGCCGTGGATCGTGCTGCAACTGGAGCACGAGAACTCGGCCATGCCCCAAGTGCACACGCAGCTGCTCTCGATCGGCGGGCTCTCGTCCATCGGCACCGAGTGGCTCCTCTGCGGCACGCGCGCTTGGCGCGAAAACCAAGGTCGGACTGCACTAAGAACTGCGTTTGGTCGGATATTGAGTTGTGCTATGTAGATGACACTCTCGTCATCGAGTGGTACTATTGGCCCAAGGTGCTTGGCGCGCCGCGGAAGCGCATGCGTGAGCGCTTCACGCTGCTCCCGAGCTCGTCCGACCGGCTCATGTGCCAGCTCTTTGTCGAGTACTCGGACGCCGTGCCGCTCATGGACCCCGTTGACATGGTGCAGCGCATTTTACTGCCCGCGAATTGGCAAGTGCAGCAGATGATCCCGCAGTACTACGCCCGCTGCGGCGCAGCCATCGAAGCGTACGACGCAGACCAGTAGACAACGATTCCATGCTATCGAACTAATATAAACTAACTACCGGTAGCACCATGGCAACGAGCATCGCAGCTGCTCGACCCTTTGCCGTCCCCAAAGGCAACTTCGGATACGGTCCAAACCGCACTTTATCGAGCACATGTGGCGTACTTACAGGATGTGATCCATGACGCTGATTCCACGCAACCGTGGGCTTTCGTTGTTTCTGCTGCTTGGCGTTCGCATATTCCTTTGCTCGCCGCTTGGTGGTGGCATGCAAAAGGCATTCGACTGTAGCGTTCCTAAAGCAGCAGTATGTACATCGTCTGTTGCTAGCTATGAAGGTTGCGTGGCGAATCAAAATGTTGCGTGTGTTCAGTCTCGTCCTTTCTCTTCGAACTTACGAGGGTTGGCGTCTTCGCCAAGCCGATGCATTCTCATATTCGGAACCAAAGCGCTCGGTCGACATGAGCTTTGCCGACTTTGCCGGGACTGCGCCGCCGATGACCGCGGGGCGCAGCATCCCCGTGGCGAGCATGAGCAAGTCGACGAGTGTGCAGGACAAGCTCAGCTCCAAGTTGGATCAGTTCCAGCGGCAGGTGATCGAGGTCAAGCGGCAGGCCGCGACGGTCTCATCGTCGCTCGACGTCCAGCAAGACTTGGAAGACCGCATCAAGTACGCCTGCCTCATCCAGGACGAAATCACAAAGCTCATGCCGCAGTTGCCGCGGACAGCGGCTGGCGACGTGGGTCGGCGAAAGCTGCTCAAGGACTTTGACGCGACCTCGAGCCAGCTCGAGAAGGTCGTGCAGCAAGTGTCAAACGCGCAGATGCGCCACGTGCACAACCTCGAGGCCGAGGCCGCTGCGTCCTCGGGCACCACGCTGCATGCGTCCATGAACGGCCAAGTCATCGAGTTCAAGCAGCTCGACAACGAGATTGCGCACAATGAAGCGCTCATTGAGGAGCGGGCAAGGGACATTGACCGGATCCAGCAGAGCGTCGTGCAGGTCAACGAGATTTTCCGAGACCTTGCGGTCATCGTCGGCGAGCAGCAGACCGCGATCAACGACGCCCACACGCACGTCGAAGAGTCGCTCGCGCAGACGCAGCTCGGCCTCTCCGAAGTGAAGAAGGCGGCGGCTAGTCAAAGCAGTTGCGTCCTCATGTAGCCTCGTCTAAGTTAAAAACTCAAAAAGAAATGGATTCCTACTTTTGCTATACTTAGAGGCACGGACAATGTCGACCGACGACCGACGGGACGTCTTTGCGCGACTCCACGTGAGCCCGCGCAAGGCCGCCGCGCCGCACCGGTCGTACTCGCTCACCGTCCTCCACCTCTCCCCGCCCAAGCCGGTACGCAGTGGCCTCGCGTGGCATGCGACAGCCGTCGGTGTAGGCGCCCGCCGCCGCCGCGTCGGTGCGAATCTCGCTCGAAGGCGACCTGAACGACCCCCACACGCTACTTCGAGCTGTGTTTCAACACTATGCGACCAGCCGGGCGAGCCCGCGCCGCATGGAGCCGGCCACCATGGGTACCATCCTCGGCTTTTCTATACCTTACCGAGGGTAGATGGCGTCGGCTTTGCAAGGTTCTGCCGCGCGTGTCCCGGGCTCGTCGGCCGCAACTTTGGCTCTGTCGACATTGACTTGACGTTCGCCAAGGTCAAGCCGCGCGGCGACCGGCGCGTTCCGTACGCGCTTTTCGTCGAGGCCATTGGGCTCGTGGCGCTCAAAAAGCACCCGGACAAGGTAGGTCTTCCGCAGTGTGTCGTTGGCTCAGGCAGCGTAGACGCTCGAGACGGCGATGCGGACGCTTCTCGATGTGCACATTGCGACGCTGCCCAACCTCGACGCGCGCCCACTCAAGGTGTCGACGACACAAGCGCCGCTCGTCTCGCGCGCGCTCTCGGACGCCGCCGCCCAAGCCGACAAGGTGCGCGCCTCGCTGCACCAGCTGCAGCGCCAAGTGCAGGCCCTCGAGCTCGAGGCGCAGAAACCATCGCCGCCCGACGACCCGCATGCAATCACCGACCGCATCAAGTTTGCCGACATGCTCCACGACGAACTGCAAGGGCTCCTCGACGCTGTGCCAAAGTCGGTCAGTGCGCGTGTCGGGCTCGTCAAGGCCGTCGACGCCGCGGCGAGCGAGCTCGAAGGCGCGGTGCGTGCGGTTGCCAAGGCCCAAGTCGCGTGGCTAGCCAAACGCCCGCCGTCGCCACCACAGCGCCGCCAGAGCGTACCTGCCTCTGCGCTCGCCACGTACATTTCAACGCGCGTCAAGGTCCTCGAGAAGCGGACGAGTCCCAGCAAGGCAGCGATTGCGCGCGTGCACCTTCAAGTCGACCGAGTCGCCGAGGACGACGACGACGATGCGTGGAACCCGTTCGCGTCCATCTTTCCTGGCCTTGATGGCAATGAATAGCTTGTACAGTTGCACTCGGCGTGGAGGTGTCTAGAGCACGGAGGAAGTGGTAAGGACAAGAAGGTTGCATTGATGGCCAAGGAAGCATCTAGGCATGGGATCGAGGCCGCGCATCGTAGCGGGCGACTGCAAGACGGTGCATGCAGTGGTCGGTCGCAATGGTGCATGCACCGGGAGCCTCGTGGTGGATGGCGACGTGGTAGAGACTGCGGCGGCGCAGCTGCCGACCCTTCTTTGTGCGGCAGAGTACACTGTATCGGAGCGGCCTGTTTCTCGAAACGGCAGACGGTATTCGGATGAACAAGGAGAACATCTTCACGCGGCTGCACCAGCAGCTCCCGCGCCGCCTCCAGCCAACGCTCCCGCCCGCGCCGAGTCCGCGCCGGAAGCCTCGGTCGCGGTCCGCTGTCGTCCATGATGTACCGCCGCCATCGCCCGTAGGCTGCGCTGTCATCCATCTCCTCATGCTTGGTAGATGATGCACACGCCTCATGCCACGCTTGAAGGCGATCCGAACGATCCGCACACGCTGCTGCGTGGCGTCTTCCTCTTCTACTGCCGCTTTGGACGCACGTGCACGTCCGAGACGACCATGGGTACGAGCTCGCAGGACGCTTCGTCGCAGCACTTATCCGACCTGTAGATGGTACCAACTTTGCCAAGTTTTGCCGCGAGTGCCCCAGCCTCATTGGCGCCCGCTTCGCTAACGTCGACATTGACATTACGTTCGCCAAGGTCAAGCCCAAAGGCGAGCGCCGCATCTCGTACGCGCTCTTCCTCGAGGCCCTCGGCATGGTCGCGCTGAAGCGGTACCCCGACCTCGTACGTCGGCGCTTGAGGTCGCGCCGTCTCATGTCCAGTGCGAATTAGTCGCTCGAGAGCGCACTGCCGCGCCTCCTCAAAGTCAACATCGCGATGCTGCCGTGCGTGGTCGACACGCAGACAGGGTCGCCGGTACCCGCCGGTTCTGAGGTGTTCACAAAACGACCATCTTGTTAGGTCAAGGCTGTGTGGCGTCGGCGACAACTGCCGCCGGAACAAAGCGACTCGATGTACTTTACCACTCTCGATAGTCGAGGTCTCATGCCACGTGCTCTAGGTCGGACCCCGAGGTAGAGATGCCAGTCGAAGATAATGATGCAGAGGACGATGCTCTGTATAAGATGGAAGCCAACAACGACCCGTACGACCTCGCAAAGCTGCCGCCGCCGATTCCGCAGCGCCGGCGTACTCTGAGCTGCGCACCAGATTTATGAAGCGATCTTATACAGGCTTCTTGGGCCAAGTTGTTAGCACACACCGAGCGGGCAAGGTTCGCACTGCTGCGCGCCGGCCGACGGCGTCCACGTTCCCTACGCCATATGAGACTCCACTGAAGGACCTCGCAACGTACGGAAGGGCAGGCGGCGCACGTCGACTGACCGGACGGTGCAAATGCATTGGCGGGGCACGCCACGCACGGATACGAGCCCTAACCAGGTCGGTTTGGCATCTTACGCACATTCCATGTACCGGCGCATTGGCATAGCCACCGGGCGCGCAGGGAAGACAGTGGTCTCGCATGTAGTTGGAGGACTGCCCAGGCGGGCACGCCAAGCACACACTCGAGCTAGAGAGCGCTCATGGATAGGACATGATGACGCCGTACCCCGTGACGTTGGCGAATGTGCCTGGCAGGCAGCGCGAGCAGTGGGGCGCGCCGCTCGGGGCAAACGTCCCGACGCCGCAGGTCGAGCTACAAATGCGCGATGCGACTTTGTCAGTCGACGCAGCTGTACCGAAGGCCTTGGCGGCACGCGGATCCGGCGGGACAGACGACGCAGCTTGTCGCATCGAGGGTATATGTGCCGAGAGGACACGGCGTCGCAAAGCCACCCGAGCACGTCCAGCCTCCACAACGATGAGGTCGACGAACAGTCGACGGTAGCTACCGGGGTAACACGGTTTGCAGCTCGATGCAGCGCCAAACGAGAACGTCTGCTGCGTACACGTTTGCTTGATGCCTCCGGCGCAGGCCGACCCGGTCGGACACCGCGAACAGACGCCCGCGCGCATGTAGTTGCCACTCGCACAGCTGTGGACGCATGGAGGACGATCTTCTTGAGAGGACGGGACAGCGTTACCTGCATGAGTACGGGCCATCGACAAAGAGCCCGAGGCTGGCGACGCCGAGGGCGCGGGACGCATTCACGACCAGCTGCAGTTGGCTTGTAATCTGCGGAAGACTGACCTCAAGGGCAAAGAACTGCCACACAAAGGCACTAGTAAGAGTAGCGCCTCGAACCAACTCTTAAGTCGTACAGCGACAGCAACAACCTGCTCGACGAAGCCACCGGGAGGCTCACGGGAAAGCGCAGGGCTTGGTTCACGACGAGCTCGATGGACGCGGCTCTACGCATCAACAACGTGTTTCTACAGACAGCTTGTGCTGACCTACGCCGTCATCGCGCCACCAATGTTGGTGTTGACATAGCCCACGAGGACGACGGGCGTCCCGCGCTCGAGCTGCACGGGAAAGGACGCGCTGTAGCTCGCGTTTTGGTCGAGTGCCGTCGACTGCAGCACGAGGCTTTGGTTGGCTGCGCTCAGCAGCGCCAAGCTGCTTGCACTCGACTGCGCTGTCCAGATGGCTTGGGCAGACGCGAGTGTCGTCACTGGCGGCAGCCACCCGGCAAGCGTCGTCGCGGACGGCGCCACCGCAACCGAGTTTGCGCACGATGGGGAAAAAGTGAGCTGAGAGATTCGGAGTACGGCCACCCTACCCCTCGAAATGATAGAGATTATACATGTACGGACGACGACGCACCCGAGGACCGTCACGAGCGACGTCATTTGCGCCGGGTCCGACCCGAGCACTGCTCGTCGAAAGGTGAGCGTGACGGCGTTGGTATTCCACGCCGCCGACTGCAGGAGGCTGTTGGTCGGTGTGCTACTGATGCTCGCGACCGGCTACAATTGCAGATGATGCGTCGTGCTTGCAGAAGACTAGTACTACCGTGCAAGGGGTTTGAAGGGCTTGCCACGCGCTCGCTGGGAACGTGCTACTGGCCATCTTGAGCGCTCGACGCCAGACTGTACGACGCTATGTGTACCTGACGTTGAAGCCGACGACGGCGCCAAAGCTCTGGACGAGACCGTTGAAGATGGATTGCTTGGCCGTCGGCACGAGAAAGAGCGGTACGACGTTGGCTGCGACGCACGCCTAGGGTCCAACGCATACTAATAGTTAGTACTAGTACAATGCAAGACCCTACTGTCCGCAGCGTGCTCGACGTTGTCGTTGCCGTGTTGATGGACGGAGCGTTTGTCATGACAAGCAGCGTGCGCCGAGCACCTGGGCTCCACGGGATCGACGCTAAGAAGTTGGTGGCCAAGAGCGGCGCCGCGTTGAACGGGCTGCTCAACATTGGTACAAAGGCTGCATATTGTAGAATTGGCATGTCGCACCTCGTCGCATCGACCGTGATGGCTTGCACCGCGCTGAGGAGCGTACTCGCCGCGTAGCCAAAGGTCGACAAGGCCGCATTGAGGTTGGAGGCGAAGTGCCAGTCGACGCCTTGCGCCTCGTACTTTTGCTAGCACAAGACAACGTTGTGCATTCAAGCTATCGGCCGTACGTACCTGGACGGCAGCGAGCAGCGCGGGCAACAGCGGCGTGTACGACTGGTCAAAGCTCGCATCCACGTACAAGTACGTCTCAACGATAGCCGGTGCGGGCAGCGCGAGCAAAATCGAAAGACTCGAGCTCTGCGTCGTGGCCACGAGCACGGTCGCGTTCATTCCGTTGGCAGTTGACGGCGCCTGCGCATCGTGCACTGCAGACAGCAACCCAAACTGCATATCCACGAGTACCTGCAGGAGCGCGGTGGTAGGAACGCGCGTGGCTAGCACGAGCAGCGTCAACGAAGCGCTGTCCGTGAGCGACACGTTCGAGGCACCGCCAGCGTTAAGGTTGAGGTTGCGCAACGAGAGGGCGATCGAGGTGCAGCCTTGCCCGCTACTGATCGCTGCGACGGGCAGCGAGAGACTCATCGATGTCTGCTGCGGTGCAAACGTGACTGTCGTCGCCCACATCGACGGGAGCCCGCCATTGGACGCAGAGCCATTGCCTCCAGCAAGTGCGACGACGACGCTGAGCGTCCCCTAAACGCGTCGTCAAAGCCGTTCACACAACAACGTCATACGAGGTAGCCTCCGTCGCGCGCCAAGAGCACCGCGTTCGACGACACGTTGTCGAAGAGCAGCGTCCAATTGGGCGTTGCAAAGTACAGGACGCCGGATGCATTGGCAGCCGTCGTTGACGGGAGGCCCGGGGCGAGCGTCTGGCACGCCACGCCCGAGAAGCCGTCGCTACAGCTGCAGCCGCCGTAGCTGCAGGTGCCGTGGTACGAGCAGACGCCTCCGTTGCGCCCGATGGGACACGCCGGCGAGCACGGCAAGCACGCTGCCCACTGATTCAAGGCGTACGTACCCGGTGCACACGACGTACACGCCGTGGACCCTACCCCCGACCATGAAACCGTCCATCTGAATCGATCTCGACACCTACCGACGTTGTTGCTAAACGTCATGGGGCTGCAGCCAATGCACTGGGGGTTTTGAGCGTCCGCAAGCGAGCTCGTGTACGTGCCATAGGGACACAAAATGCAGCCAGCAGTCGCACTGAGCCGGTGGGTGCCGGGAGGACATGCCTCGCACGTTGCACTCGCGAGGCTGCGTTGCGACCCGATCGGGCATGACACGCACAGCGTCGATGTGGTGGCGGCTGTCGCCAGTGTGATCGTGTCGAGTGGGCACGGTGTACAGCCCGCAGCGCCTATTGACATGCATGAAATGGCATCGTAAGGTACCGCGGACCTGTCGCGCTGGCATACGTCCCGAGACCACAGGGCGTGCAAGCCGCGGCCTTGGTCGTGTTTGCATTCGAGAAGGTTCCCGAGGGGCATTTCACACAGCTGACGGCGCTAGCGCTGCCGACCACTGCGCTGTACGTGCCGTCAGGACAGTCGGAGCACTTAGCGAGGCCCGTGCGTGCGCCGAACGACCCCATCGGACACGCAGCGCAGCCGGCCCAGCTCGCCCTACGAAGCGTTCAGTGTGGAGCGAATCACGTCAAATGCAAACTGCGTCTGGGCGCTAAAGGTGCCTAGATCACAGGAACTTCAGTGCCAGAGGTGTCAAAGGTCAGCACCGAGGGGGCAGGCGGTGCAGCTGAGAGCAGACGCGTTGCTGTACATGCCCCTGGGACACCCCAGACACGCGTCCATCGCCATCGACGGCGCGTACGTCCCCGCCGAGCAGTTGGTGCACGCGGGGGCCTGCGGCGCGCTGAACGTGCCGCCAGGACACGCGGAGCACTGCGTGGCGTTGCCCACTACCCGAAAACTTGGCAAACGCGACGTGCAAGCGCAGTACGTACCCGAATAGTAGCCCGCGCTGCACGGAGAACACGCGCCCGACCCGGCTTGGGCCGCAAAGGTGCCTGCCAACACAATAGAACGTATTTAGCCAAGAAGGAGCGCACCGGCGGGGCACTGCGTGCAGTTGGCGGCCGAGGTGGCTTGAGGAATCGACGAGTACGTGCCCTGGGGACAGCTGAGGCACGACGCGAGGCTCGGGGCGGCGATGAGGCCGCTGTACGTGCCGAGGGGACACGGCGTGCACGCTGACGCGCCCTCGACAGCATAGGTACCTACACAAGGAATGTCTCTTCTTACCGCTCGTCGCCATTGCAACTACGCACCCGGAGGACACGTGCTGCATGCAGCGTCGCCACTCGCTGCATACGACCCGGCGGCGCACGGTTGGCAGACGATCTAGCATCCTTTATGGTATCCATGTGGCTTTGCGCAAGGTTGGTGACCTGCCCCGTCGCATTGCAGTAGACTTGAACGAGCCCCGATGCGCACTGGGCCGACGTGTACGCGCACTGAATCGAGTTGCCCGTGACGAGCGCGTACCTACACGCAACTGACGAGTCGGACAATATGGACGAGCCGTCGCACCGCCCGACACCGCCGAGGATGACGAGTGTCTTGGTCGCATTGAGGTAGTTAGTCGAGTGTGCGCTACGACCAGCGATACATTTGTTATGTTATAACAGGCAGCCGACCGGCGCGGACTAAGAAGTGAGCCGTTGGTGTAAGCTAGTGGCAGCTGCAGCCAGCGCAGCAGCGCCAAGTTGAACTCCCAACCGTCACTCATGTAATCGCTGGGGAACCTAGTGGAAGCACAAGTGGATGATGCTATATGCAGGAGAGAGGCGCGCACCGAAACGAGCCGCCGACGACGACAAAGCGGTTGGTGTACGACGCGACCGCTGTGTGCCCAAAGCGCGGCGGCGGCGTCGTACCGAGCTGCTCGAGCTGCGTCCAGACGTACGTTTGCTGCTCAGCACGGGCTTGCGTCTACAAGAGAAATGACATGTTGTCCAACATTGGCGACCGTACCGACAGCAGCGTCGGGCAGAGCGTCCACACGTCGTTAAAGATCGAGTTGTTGAAGAGGCTCTGGCCGCCGTACAAGACAAAGCAGCTGCGGCTTGTCTCGTCGCGGTTGAGTGTCATCGAGTGGTACGCGCGGCCGAGCGGGCTCGAGGTATTGGGTAAAAGCGTCACAGGCTGCCACGTCACGCTCGGAACCGCCGATTGACACCCGAGGCCGGGACTTGGCTTGGTCAACACCATGAATACGGTATCATTGCTCGCCTAGACGAGCATCAGAGGCAGGCAAGGACGTGGCTGAGCCTACGGCATAAGAGTATGCGAGTGTGCCGCCAAAGACCAGGTGCACGCTGCTCGTTGCGTTAACGAGAAGCGTGGTTGTCGAGTGGCCCGTGCGCGCTATTGGCGTGTACGTCGTTGCATTCAGCACCTGGTCCCCTAGACAAGCGTCACGATCGTGCGCTTCGCGTCTGCATACAGATGCCCGAGGTGTACGGGGCGACGACGCAGAGTCTATGCTATTATCAAACGTCCGTGAACAGGGTGATTGTCTACCGCCAGAGATCGCCCATGATGTCCGTGTTGGTGCCGGCGTAGATGAAAATGGCGTCTTCCCAGACGATAGCCGAATGCTCGATGCGGGAACCCGGTAAAAACTGCTGCGTCTACGCACACGCCATCACTTCCACGAAGTACATTGCAGTCACGCACGTTGGTCTTGGGCCCGCCCGACGCGATCGAGAGCGTAGGGTACACGGCCGTCTGCGGCGACGACGGGCTGTAGACTTGGACTGTATTCGTAATCACGGGCTGGCCCGTGCTGATCGAGTAGCCGCCGACAACGACGAGCGCAGAGCTGCTCGCGATCGCCGACGACGTGTGAAACACATGCGCCGTGTTAGGCCTACGTGCGCGTGAGGCGTGCTGCTACGACATGCGCGCAGACCCCGGCATGTCGTACGAGACGCATGTCTCGAGCACCGCCTCGAGCGGCGTGTACGAGGCGCACGGCAGCTGCGCAGTGCCTACCCACATCGGTAAAGAGCTGGTCACCACAACATGAGCGCACCGAGGCAAAGCAGCGCGGCAACGACGGCGACGACCAAGCGCATGCCACAAAGGGTTTGTGAAACGGCGCCGATCGGATCTTTTGATGAATTGCGATCTCCACTCGCAAAAGCATGTGCGCTACCTTTGAAGCAACGTCGTGAGTACATGGCGTCATCTTGAGGGTCTCGATAGGTATGTATAAGGCGTCCGTGGCGAGCTCCGTGCTCGTCTTGGTCGTCGTGGCAACGTGGTGGGGCCATAGTCCTCGGGCCGATCGCTGCACGCGCCCGTCTCCAAAGCACCATGACACAGCTCCATGACGCAGCTCCATGACGCAGCACGCGTCGGCTACGTTGGTTTGGGTTGATGCGGCGGCCGAGGCCGCCTGTCTGGAAAGATCGCGAGGGCAAAGTCGACAGTCCAATCAACGATCGGCCGATGGTATCCGGATGCAGTCGGTAAGATGACGCGGCGAGCCAAGGAGCAGCGCCAGAAGCGGCTCGCGCAGCGGCTGGCGTACGAGACGCCGGAAGAGATCGAGCGCCGGCTGCAGTGGCGTGCGCTTCTCGACACGATCGATGCGGCGGCCGACCACGCGCCTGCCGTCGTCGCCGACGAGACGACGGCCAAGGTCCGCGCCCGGACGCTCTCAGCGCCCGACGTCCTGAGCTGGAAGAGCAGCCACGCGATCGTGGCGGCGAGCGGCAAGTTCGACCTGCCCGTGCGCGTCGAGTACGAGGACTCGGAGGTCTCGTACGAGTTCCATACGAAGGAGATGGACATTGTCTTCTCGATCCGGTTCGTGGACGCGGCGACGGGCCTCGACCGCTTCCTCATCTCGCCCACGCGCTGCGCGTCGCACGAGAGCGCGGTGAAAGGCTGCCACCACGTCCGCGGCCCCGGCGTCCTCACGTTAACGTGGGACAATGAGTTTTCGTGGATCAACCAGAAAGAGCTGAGCTACGCCGTCGAGCTGCACCAGAACGTGCCCCACCTGGCGCCGCTCGTGCCGGCCAACACGGCGCGGGACACGCTGCAGCGCGAGCTACGCCTGCGCCAAGCCGCGTTCGACGAGAAAGCGGACGTCCTCGCGACGCTCCAAGCCAGCGTCGACTCTCGTCAGGCAAAGATCCTCGACCTCGAACAGCAACTCGCGGTACGACGACGCCATGATTGTCATGATGCTGACGCTGGAGCTAGCGCTTGCAAATGGAGCTCGTGACAACCGTGGACGAGCAGTCGAAAGCGACGGCGGAGCTTCAAGAAGTCGCCCGCGACGTAGAGGTCCTGGAGAGCGAGCTCACAGGTACAGTTGGAAGCTACACCAAGGATACAAAATGGCTCATGGCTCTGTGCAGCGCTGGCGTGGCGGACGCTGCCGACACCGATGGTCGAACATGTCCTCTCGTTTGGCACCAAGGCCGACTGGAAGCAATGGTACAGGCGTCGTCGGAGACTCGGACAATGATGTCGTCATGGTGCAATAGGATCGTCATCAACAAGAAGTGGCACGGGATCATCTCTGGCTTCAAGCCTGTGAAAAGCGACGACTAGCGACTACTTGAATCAACTCTTGCTCTTGCTTGCGTCGTGCGAGGGCTACACGACATAGACCCTGGCACGGCCCGCCCACACGGGACAGGGAGCAAGCTGGGCGACGCTGCATTCGGCCACCATCTCGTCTTGCGTGGATGTGGGCGCAGATGACGCGGTCTCGAGACGAGCTTGGCGAGCTTCTGCAGCAATGTCTTCGCGCTGCAACGCCAAAATCGCAGACTGCTGTGGCGTGGCGAGTTGTTGTGGCGTCTTCTTGCGTGTGGTGCGTTGATTGGGCGTGACCGTTGCAGCGCAGGCCATGGGCACGAGAAGAGCGGCCTTGCGCCGCTTGCGCTCGCGGTACTGGCGCTGGCGTTCCCGACCCCGTGGTCGCTTCTCTGCCTCTTGAGCGAGGAGGTGCTCGGCCTCGTCCTCTTCTCGTTGCTTCTTGCGCTCGCGGTACAGGCGCTGGCGGTCCCGACCCCGTCGTCGCGTCTCGGCCAGTTGCACGGCCAGTGCATTCTGCAGTGCTGCCTGGATCGTGGCAGCCTCAGCTGGCATCACGCAACTCCCGAATTAAAATACAGACGGGGATTTTAAATGCCGGATTTTTGGCCAATGAGACGCGTCGTTCGAAATTTGACATGGCGATGGCAGCGCGAGGTCGATCCCGCGAGAAGCGGCGCCGGTCCCCGTCGCCCGATGGCTTTGGCCGCGTGAAGCGCGATGCGTCGTCCGACCGCCCGCGCCGTCGGTCGCCGCCGGCGCAAGCGGACAGTAGCAGCCAAGACTTTCAAGCGCAACGCGCGACGCTACCCGTGGGCAAGTACAAGGACGCTTTGCTCGCTGCGATCGCCGCCAACCAGGTAATACGTCTCGCGCCGCAGCCTCGCAGCGCTCAAGAAGCGTTAGATTATTGTGTGCATTGGCGAGACGGGTTCGGGCAAGACGACGCAGTTGCCGCAGTTCCTTTTGGAGGCGGGCTACGGTGCCACGAAGCGCATTGCCATCACGCAACCTCGGCGCGTCGCCACGACGGCCGTTGCCAAGCGTGTCGGCGAAGAGCTCGCGGCCTCTGGCCTCTCGCCCAAGGTACGTCTCGGCTGCCCTCTCTCTTCTCATCGAGCGCGTCTAGGCCGTGGGGTACACGATTCGGTTCGACGACCAGTGCACATCCGAGACCAAGATCAAGTTTATGACCGATGGCATCCTCGTGCGCGAGTGTCTTCAGGACCCGCTCTTGCAGCAGTACTCGATCATCATGCTCGACGAGGCGCACGAGCGAAGCATCCACACGGACATCCTCTTTGGCCTCCTCAAGTCGATCCTCTCAGCCCGGAAGGACCTCAAGCTCATCGTCACCTCGGCGACCTTAGACGACGAGCGCTTCGCCGCCTTCTTCAACGGCTGCCCCGTGTTTCGCGTGCCGGGGAGGTCGTTTCCGGTCGACATTTACCACTCGAAACAGCACCAAATCATGGGCAAAACCGGGCCTGTCTCGACGTACCTCACGGCGGCTGTCGATGCGACGCTGCAGATCCACAGCAATGAGCCGCCAGGCCACATCCTCCTCTTCCTCACAGGCCAGAAAGAGATCGACGACGCATGCAAGGAGCTCACCAAGCGGCTCCAACTGCTGCGCGACGCATCGCCCGACGTTGCGCGCTTCCACGTGCTGCCTCTGTACGGTGCCTTGTCCAGTGCCAAGCAGCGGCGCATCTTTGAGCCGTCGCGCGACCGCAAGATCATTGTGTGCACCAACATTGCCGAGACGTCGCTCACGGTCGATGGCGTCAAGTACGTCGTGGATGCTGGGTTTACCAAGCAAAAGGTGCGGGAACTAGAACGTTTCAATGTTTCAAAGTTTCAAGTATAGGTCTACAACCCGACACGCGGCCTCGAGTCCCTTGTTGTCGTGCCCGTCTCGCAAGTGTCTGCCCAGCAACGCGCCGGCCGCGCCGGCCGCACCAGGTACACTGCTGGAAACGCAGTACGAAGTCTTCAACATATGCGTAGCGCGGGAAAATGCTACCGCCTCTACTCCAAGCAGTCGTACGAATCGATGCTGCCCGAGACGGTGCCCGAGATCCAGCGCTCCAACTTGGCCAACACCATCTTGTACCTCAAAGTGCTTGGTATCGCCGACGTCGTTGGCTTCGACTACTTGGATCCGCCGGCCGAAGACGCCATTCTGGACGCGCTCCACCAACTCTACATCCTTGGTACGACTCTCGTTTCTAGCATCCGTCCAGACCACGAGGTGTAGGCGCGCTGGACGACCAAGGCGGCGTCACGGCCACTGGCAAGGACATGGCACAGTTCCCACTCGAACCGCGCTTGGCCCGGTACAACTTGACACCTTGACACCTTGAAACCTTGAGAGACGACGGATACTATGTGGTGTAGCGTGCTGCTGGAAGGCATCCAGCTTGAGTGCGCGAACGAAGCCATGACGATCGTCGCCATGCTCTCGGTCGAGAACGTCTTTATGTTTCAAACCAACCGCCACCGCGACGACCCCATGGCGGCGTCGCGTCGCCGGGCCATGGACCTCCTCGAAACATCGCTTCATCCGCGCGGTGACCACCTCACGCTCCTCCAGCGTAAGCGCGCTCCATCTTCCTCCTTCTCTCACTGTCTCGCAGTCTTTGAAGCCTGGGAGCACCTTCCGCCGTACGAGCAAGAAGCGTGGTGCCATGAGCGCCACTTGCACTGCCGAGCATTCCGCACCGCCGCGTCGGTCCGGTCGCAGCTCCACGAGTTGGTCGACAAGGTGCGTCGACGCCAGCCACCGCACACAAGCACGACGCCGGCTCTCGACCGCGTCCGGCAAGCCGGTACGTTGGCAGCGGTGTGCAGATGTGTCTCATATGCTACATGGACAGTAACCGCGGGCTTCTTCATGCATGGCGCCCGCAAGTGCATCATGCATTCGATCTATCGCTGCCTGCACCATGGGTCAACCGAGGACACGACGGCTGAGCTTGTCCACATTCACCCGTCGTCGTCGCTGAGCGAACGCTCGCCGCCCGAGTTTTGCGTCTACCACGAGCTCGTGCATACGAGCCGCGGTACGCTCCTTCCTGCGCCCTCGGCATGCGTGGAAACGTCCGTCGTGTAGGCTACATGCGCCACGTGCTCGAAGTCGACGCGGCCTGGCTCGACATGTACAAGCCGTCCAAGCAGCTCAAGCCGTCCGAGTGCTACCGCCTCACACAGCGGGAGCCGCCGGCCGCGCTCGTCGCTGCCGAGACGTCGGCTGCTGCCGCCATGGATGTCGGCGACGCGCCGCGCTTAGTCAAGGTCGAGCCGGTCAAGGTGACGGACGACGCCGTCTCGGCTGCTCGCGCGCGGTACCTGGCCCGGAAGAAGCAGCAGTAGAGTTGTTACTTTTTCACAAAGATCTTTTGCGTCATGAGCTTCCACGCCGGCTGGCCCTTGTAGAGCATGGGGCGCGCAAAGACGTTGGCGCAGTGCGGGCAGGTGCCCATGGGCGCGCTGGGCGGGAAGTAGCTCTTGAGGATACGCTCGGGCAGCAGCTTGACGAGCGACGACGTCCCGCTCCCGCGCTTGCCGTAGTCGACGAGCTTGGTCTTGCAGCCATTGCAAAACACGGTCCAGTTGCGGTACATGGTGGCTTTTTTCGACTCCCCACCCCTTACAAAGCCACCAATCGAGGTCCTGGGACGGGGTGGGGGCCCTCGAAAATGAACCGTTGCGATCCACCAGCACTACATGAACGATGGACATGGTCATGCCCATGGCCGACGCACTCGTCTTGCCCTCGGCAATGGCTGACACTGCGTTTGCCCAGCACTTTGGCTGACCAGAGTGATGTCATTCTGCATTAGTTAGTTAGTTAGTGTGCGATGCCTCAGCTTTGTTGCTGCGTTGTTCTACTGGTGCGCCGAGCATGTAGCGCAGGCCTCGCCACAGGCCTGACACAGCCACGTGGCTAGCTGCCAGCCCCGCTTCTCTCCGTCGCGAGCTTCTTCTTGCGGCCATCTTGACCGCGCGTCGAAGCCAAAACGATCCTATGATGAATCCATTGGCCACGTCATCCAGATCAAGCCCGAGCCCTAGGTCCTGCCAAGTACGAATCTCGCCCAAGTGCGATTCACACCGTGAGCAACCAGGGGTCACTTTCATTTCGCCACCATGGCCAAAGCCAACGCCCGGATCCTCGCCCTCTTCGACGTCGATGGCACGCTCACGGCCGCCCGCAAGGTAGAGCTCCAACATGCATGTCGTGCTAAGCGCCTATCAGGTGGTCACGCCGGACGTGACGGCCCGCATCGCCAAGCTCAAGTCGCAGATCACGATCGGCGTCGTCGGCGGCTCGGACCTCGTCAAGCAAAAGGAGCAGCTCGGCGAGAACGGTAGCAGCATAGCCATGGATACAGGATGATGGGCTCAGCATGCGTCGGCTAGTGACGGAAGCGTTCGACTACAGCTTCTCGGAGAACGGCCTCGTCGGCTACCACAATGGCAAGCTCATCAACAAGACGGTACATGCGTCATTATTGCACCACCTCGCTCACATGCTATGTGGACGTAGAGCTTGAAGGAGTTCCTTGGCAACGAGAAGCTCAACAAGTTTATCAGCTTTACGCTGCTCTACATTGCGAATCTCGACATCCCGATCAAGCGTGGCACGTTCATCGAGTTCCGCCAGGGCATGCTCAACGTGTCGCCCATCGGCCGCAACTGCTCGCAGGAAGAGCGCGACGACTTTGAGCAGTACGACCACATCCACCAGGTCCGGTCCAAGATGGTCAACGTGCTCCGCACGCAATTCCCCGAGTACAACCTCACGTACTCGATCGGCGGCCAGGTACTTTCTCCTCGCATCGATCAACCATGGCCTCATCGGCATGTGCTCTAGATCTCGTTTGACGTCTTCCCCGTCGTACGTTTCCGACCGCGCATCGTGCATGCCAGCCAATGCTCATGCGATCTGGGTGCTAGGGCTGGGACAAGACGTACTGCCTCCGCTTCTTGAGCGCGTCGGATTACGACGAGATCCACTTTTTCGGCGACAAGACCCACCTCGTACGCTGCAGCCTTCCTTCCTCACGAGGTCTCACATGCTAATGCATCTAGGGTGGCAACGACTACGAGATCTTCGTGAACGACCGCACGATCGGCCACGCGGTCAAGAGCCCCGACGACACGCTGCGCTTGCTCGACGAGCTCTTCCCGTTGAAGTAAGAAACGCCAGCGTCCTGCATAGTATTACAATACTACAACTACTAACTACCTACTCTGGTAACAGCGTATCATTGCCAAAGTTGGCCATCGGGTCCTCGCGCTTGTTCTTCTCGAGGCGGTACACCTCCATGTCTTCCGCGCTCACGTCGTCGTGGTGCATCGACGTGTACTTGCGCTTCTTGGACGCCACATCGTCCGCCTCGTCCTCGGCCCGCTTGGCCTTCTTGGCCTTGGCCTTGGCTCTCTTGAGCTTCTCGTCGTCGAGCGTCGGAGCCGTGTTCTCGCCGTAGAGCTCGCTGCGCGCCGTGAGGGCAAAGGTCGACTCCTTCGTCGACGGCACGAGCATCTCGCGCTCCTTGACCGGCACTTGCTCTTGGGCGGCGGCCGCCTTTGCCGACGCCATCGCAGCCGCCTTGCCCTCGTCGCCTGTGCAATACGACTTGCGCACTTTCGAGTGGCAGCACGCAAAGCCCCACGCGCGCGCTGCCTTGTCGTACCACGATCCCCAGATCTGTGTATGGTTGTTCTCCAACACGTCTTCCATGTACTTGGACTTGGCCGGCGCCTTCTCGATGCCCTTGACGACGCGGCCGTCGCGCGAGTACTCGACGTACGCCTCTGTGGACGCGAGAAGCAGCTCCTTGGACGGCGCCTTGGTCTGCTCGCCGTACTTGTCGATGATGGCCTTGCGCTTCTCGGCCTCGAGCGCCGCCTTCTTGGCTTCGTACTGCTGCCGCATAAACTCGGCCGCACTCGGCGTCGCCTGCGGGTGCAAGTGGCCTTCGGCGACGACGCCGTGCTCGGTGGCTTCCCACGCAAACATTTGCGTTTTTGCGAGCTTGACCGCATCGCCGGAATGCTAAGGACGACGAATGAGGTCGGTCGAAGCGCAGATGGCAACGTACGCGAATAAAGTTGTCGCCCATAAAGGCCGCGTCTTCGGCGCTCAAGTCGGGGTTCGGGTTGTCACGCATCGAGCGCGTCTTGGGGTCGTAGTAGGCCGAGTTCGGGTTCAAGTTGCGGAGGTACTTGGCCGTGTCTTCGCGAATACGCAAGTTGCGGGCCTACACGCGAGAATGGGAGAAGCGTCGGGCGATGGACGGGTGTACCGTGATCTTCATTTCTGCACCACCGACGCCGCCTTGGCGCGAGACGCGCTGAGCGATGACGCGGCCGCCCTCCTTGTCGACGAATTCTTCGTCCTCGGAGCCTTCGCCGTCCGAATCCGAGTCCGAGTCGGACGTTGTCTTGGTCTTGCCGCCCTTCTGGTCGTTGTCGTCCTTGAACTCTTCGTTCATCTCTTCAATCCGCTTCTGCTTGCGCGCTTCCTCCATCTTTTCGAAGCGCGCGATCGTCGCTTGGTGCTCGTCGTTGTCGTAGCCGAGCCACGCGTCGCGCTTGGCGTCGAACGTGAGCTTGCCATACTGCCCCGAGCGCACGTCAATGATGACTTCGTCCGGCGCAATGTCCTTGTTGGTCTTCCATGCGCCCACCTTGCGCGGCCGCTCAACGCACTCCTTGGCGTTGTGCGTCATGGCGCCGCAGTTGGTGCACGCGCCCTTCTGGAACTTGCGGCGCGTCGTCGTTTGCTTGAACGCACGGACGTTGAGCTGGTCGGCCTCCTGCATCGAGAGCACTTGGTCCTTCTTCGGGTTGATCTGATGCGTCAGCGACGGGCCTGACGACCCGAGGTACCATGGCCGCTTGGAGATGTAGTCGGGGTTATGCGGGTTGATGAGGTTGCCGTCGGCGTCCTTCTCGGGCGGGAGCGTCCCATTCTTCCGCGCCTCGTCGATCTCCTTCTTCTTGCGGAAGTCCGACGCGGACATGCGATCGCCCGAGCTGTTCATGGCCTTTGGTGACGTCCTAATTCAATGTGCCAACTGCAGAATACTCCTGTCCTAATTAGGTTCCTAGAATTCGGACTTTTGCGGCCAGAACGTCCAGAAGGACACCACACCCAGCACCTCGCCCAGCTCAGCTCGAGCCGAGTTGCTGTGGCAGCATATCGGTGCATGCATAGAGCTATCTATCTATATGGGAGCGGCTACCTCCTAGGAACGGCTACAGTTTGTGTGGAACCTGAAAGAAGATGAGGCGCGCTCTCTTCGGCGAGCGAGCCTACGGTTTTGATATCGGCTAGCAACTCCTGACCTTGGCTCGCCGGGCAAAGCTGCCAGGCAAGATGCTGCGTGCTGCTGTTGCCACAGGTGATTGTACTATTGCGTGCTGAGCTGCTTCTTGGCAACAGAAGCCCTACAGCCTAAGAACCTTTGCGTGCGTTGGCGCAGGCCGCCACGGTACAGCAGTACTCGTGTGGGCCTCCTCCACGTGCGCAGGCACTAGCGCACCGCAAAGTCGGTTATCGCAGGTGGTCAACAACATAGCGAACGCCGGCGTGTCTGAACCGCGACGAGCGATCAACGGATGCAGACCATGGGAGTGGCTGTGGCGCTCCAGGGCTGCGGCGAATGCGCACGGTGAGGCGTGTAGTAGCAAGTCCTAAAGTCATGATGGTCGCAGGTACCTATGGTGGCCAAGACGCGAGTCGTGATCAGGAGAAAAGCCTTCGATTGTTATATTAAGCCGAGCGAGGTGCCCGAGCTACATAGCACCTCGTAGCAAGATGGGAGCGTACCACACGTGATGTTGCGCAAGACAGCAGCAAGCCAATACGCCAAACCTTGCTAGATTTAGACGCGCTTAGGGCGGAAACGGGCCGGCGGCTCACGGTTCTTGCGGCCATCGACCGAGCGCACGCGGACGATACGCTGGTGGATCGCGGCTTCGATCGAGTAGTAGTTCTTGATGTAGATCTTGGGGAGAGCGTACGACTCGTAGACCGAGGCTTCCTTCAAGTCACGCATGGCCGAAGCATCGACCATGTTGCGGACGACGAAGCGCTTGATGGCCTTGTCCTTGGGGATGAGCTTGGCCGTCGAGACGCAGTGGACGCGCTTGACGTGGCCACGACCCTTCTTGTTTCTACCGTGGTTGCGACGCTTCACAGTCATGCTTGTAGCTTTTCTCGAAAATGAGACTCCGCCGAAATGGCGATGCAAACAAGCGCCCACCAGCCACCAAGGCCACCACATACAAATTCCTAGATAAACACCGTCGCGGTACCCCTATCCCTCGTTTCGCCATTTCATTGGTGCACAGCCCAAACGCGCCCGATTCGCTGCGGCGTAGCCAATCCACGCGCGACCTTTATCCGGATAACCGGATACCATGGCGCCAACGCCGGCCAGGGGTGCCACGTCCGCGAATGCGTTGCCGTTGTGCGCGGAGGCCGCACCGCATCGGTCGTTGCAAGTCCTCGTAGGTGGCTACTCCTTTGTACTAATAAATGCAGGTGGTCACGCAGGGTCTGAGCTGAGCTCTGCCATTTGTGGTGCTGCGAGTCTGCAAGAGCCAACGCGGCGACGCCA